TTTTTTCAGGTGTTGGTAATTTTTTTTTTTTGATTTTTTAAGGTTTTTTTTTGTAAAAAATTTTTTACAAAAAAAAAATCTGTTTATATAGTCTATATATTGATAAATATATATATATATATATATATATATATATATATTTTATATATATATAATGTGTTCGTTCATTTAAAATATATATGTTATATTTTATATATATATATATATTTATATATATATATATATATATATATTCAATGATTAGGAAAATAGTTTAGTGACCTTTTTCTGTTTCCTTCTGATCCACTTTCATTTTGAGTTTAGTCCTCATTTAGTTTTTTACAACTTGAATATATTAATTTATGAAAATCATGGCAGTCATTCTCAATAGAATATCCATCTATCTTTATAAAAAACTTATCTTTACACAAAATTTTAAAAAGGTTTACACATATAATTAATGTATTTATTTGGGTTAATCCTTTGTTTTAAACAAATTTTAATTAAATAAAAAAAATGTATCATGTTAAGCTTTTTATTTAATTTTTAGAAAATAGCCAAATAAGAATTTTATTTTTTGGGAAAAATAAAATTTTCAAAAATTATTGTCCAAATGTTCTATATGCCCATGTTTTTTTTAGTTTTTTTTTTTTACTTTCACTTAATTTAGTACAAAACTCCAAGATCAAAAAAAAGAAGCAGACACCAAACTTATGAAAACAAATTTGATGAATAAATTTTATTTAGGTAATTTCTTTTTAAATGGAATTTTTAAAATTTTTTTAAATTTTTAAAAATTTTCCTTCTTTTTAAAAAATTCTGACAAACATTTAAAATTTTTGTTTGTTTTATCACCAGAAAATAAAAAAACCGATGTAATGAATATAAAGGAACTGGTTCCCCCTCACAGTAATATGAAAATTGGTTTCAGCCTAAATACCTCCACGGAAAAAAAAAAAAAGCATAGCTTGATGAAAAAGACGCCAAAGTTTATGAAAAAAAAATTTTATTGTCTAAATGCTTATGTTATTATTAAGAGGAAAGACTAAATTTTTTTTTTTAATTATTTTTAAAAAATTTTCCTTCTTTTTTAGAATATTCTAAATTTTGATTTAAAAAACCTTGTTATTTGTATCACCGGAACTAGTAAATAACATAGACAATTTTTAGCATTTTTTTTTTTTTTTTTATTATGACACACATTAATTTGGAAAATCTTGCAAAAATAAAATAATTGTCGGATGTTAATGAAACTTTCAGAAACTATTCACAGATGATCGAAATTATTATAAATATTTTTTTTTTTATTAAAGTCATGGCAGAAATATTTTTTTTTATATTTATTCCCCCCCATAACTAATTTTATGAAAACTCTAGAAATTCGATCGCATCGGTTTTAGTGATTACAATAGTTAAAAGCACAAGGCTTTGAGGAATGCAAATCATTTTTTTTTTTTTTTTTTTATTTGACCAACGTACTGAAAATCAGCTCTGAATTGTAACATACAAAACTCAATAAAACAAAGATATTATTTAATTTCAAATGCTTTTATTTGTTTTTAGTTGTTTTTATGGACAATATTTTCTGAAAGCAAAAAATTTTTTCAATGAAAAATGAATTTTTAATACAATTATTTGTTATTTTTTAATTATAATAGATTTTTTACATTTAAGTTGTTAAAATATTATAAAATTAGTTAAAAGCAACATCCACTTTCAAAATGTCCTTATGAGATAGATCTTTTTTTTAGCGCTTTGTAAATTGTATCATTTTGACTAATCAGAAGACCCCAGTAATTAAGAAATGTAATTTTGTGTTTATAATCAGGCTGTAATTATAAAGTACGGAAGACCAACCAGAATACAATTAAGTTGCATTATTTGAGTTAAGCATTGTTCTCCGCTGCTAAGGCCTTTACTTTTGCGAAACATGTGTAGAGAAGTTAATTTGATTTTCCAGTTTCAACTGAGAAGGGTACCTACAAGTATCAGTATCATCTTATGAAATTTATATGTTCTTATGTTTATATTAATCTCAGTTATGACATTTTTCCATAAATGAAATATCAAAATCAATAATAAAATGAATGGAAATACAAATAACACAGTAAAATGTAATAAATGTACATAAAATTATTGTATTTTATGTACACTTCTGATAAAATTTCCTAAGAAAGGCACCTATGAATTAATTTCTTATGAAATTTAATCTCACTCTTAACAGTCTTATTTTAATTTCTTTATAATATATTTTCCATAAAGCATCTTAAACGTAAAGGTGAAAGCTAAGTAAACAAAAAAAAAAAAAAAAAAAAAAAAAATTTTGAAAGTTTTCCTTAAAAATAACGAGGTAAATAATTTGTTCACTTAAATCTAAATAATTTCACTTTTCTCCTTCCGTAGAACAAATTATCCTCATGGAATCCGTCAATATGTCATTCATCACCTGTCAAGTGACGCGAAAGTTTATGACCTGCTTTGTTTTATTTTCAAATTACATTTTTCTATGCAGAAGCTAAGTTAAGTTTGGTTCAAAATATTTTAAATAAACATTATAATTTCTGATTTTCTTAAAATAAGTTTTGAAAAAATGATAATTGATTTTTAAAAGAATTTCAAATGAAGATTTTTTTTTTTTTTTAAAATGGAAAAAATGGAAAAAAATTGATTATCTGTCAATTTTTTGAAAAAAAAAAACAAGATTTTTAACGAAAATTTTGGACATGCTAGGAACGATTAAAAATGTAAAAAAAAATACCCCAAAATACTTTGATCTTTCCTCTTAATAATAACATAAACATTTAGACGATAAAATTTTGTTTTCATCAAGTTTGGTGTCTTTTTCATCATGCTATGCTCTTTTTTAGCGATCTCGTGGAGGTACCTAACAAATAGCAATAGAATATTAAAATTATTTTAAATGAATATGCAGATTTAGTTATAGGAATATTTTTTTTATTTTCAAAACATTATCTATAAATATATATATATATATATATATATATATATAACAAATTTGAAGAATTCCAACCCCTCTAAATGTTTTTTGCAGAAATCCAAATGCCTTCCCATTTAAGGGTAGACAAACAACAGGAACATTATAGTTTACAAGGTTGAAAAACATAGAAACAAACCTAATACTGGTAATAAGAAAAATAAAATTTTTCATCCACCAAAAGGTAATTTTAAAAATTGCTACTATAACCATATAAAACTTTAAACATGAAATTTATAAACATATTAATAGAATGTCTATATATAAATATATATATATATATGAAAATATTAAACAAGAAGATGGAACAAATTTTATTTTAAAATGGAAAATAAAAAAAAAAATCTCACAGTATTTTTAACAAATATTGTTTTAACTATGTATGGATGAAAATTTTAGCAATTTTTTTTTTTCAATAAAACCAAAAATTTACTAAACCAAATGATCTGAAATCTGAAAAATTGCAAGACATAAGAAATCCTGGTTATTGGAATAGATGTTCATTTTTTATTTTTGTTTTTTTTTTTTAATGGGTTAAATTCTTTTTTGTCCAACATGGTTTTATGCTATTTTAGATACAGTCAGATAATTTAGTTTTTGGTGTTGGTTTTATCAATAAATATGTTCTATGTCATTTCCTCTTTAGCCAGCTTAGACTGAAGAACCATTTAGGTGAAACCAAGGTAGGTTGTTCTTGGCTATTTAGAATTAATTTTATTTACTCTTGGCTAAAATTTAGCACTACATTTTTTTATCTTAGTTAAATTTATTTTTTTTTTTTCCTTTGGATCAAAAAAAAAAAAAAAAAAAAAAAATTTTTGTGCCCTTTTCGGATATTTCTAGTTCTTCCTTTTTTTTCCAATATTTTCCTCAGATACAAATTTGTTTTTATATACTTGCAAATTGTGCCATCCATCCAGTTTTTTTTACCAACTGAGTATAATTATTAGTATAATATATATATATATATATATATATATATATGTATGTATGTATGTATGTATGTATGTGTGTGTGTGTGTTATAATGAGCATTTGGTTGTGAAAGGAAAAGAACAAGGATTAGGTTTTTGAAAAAACGTGTAAAAAAAACTTATATAGGATGTCAAAAAAGAGTTGCAAAATTGGTGGAATGTCAATTTCTGTTTTTGATTGTCAGGATTTTGAAAAGGTATATTCAAAATCAACCGATGAGTTAACCTATTTCTTGTGTTGTTTGACCGATGTCACAGAATATGGTTGTTTGCACATATTGGTCAAGTGAGTTCATGGTGGTGGGTTAATTTGTTGGTTGTCAAAGTAATGAGGGATTGGCATAGGTGGTAAGTCTGTTCTATGAAATGGGTTCATGGTGATGACTGCAAAGGGAATGCCTGTAGAAGTTGATTATTCATTTTAATTATAATAAATAATAAACAAGGTTGGTGCTGAGGTGACAGTGGTGGGTTCTGAGGTTTGTGTCGCTGATTGGCCAGTGTTGCTTTCATAGCCAAAGCTTGCTTTGGGGACTCGATATGATGCTTAGAGCCTATTTGCAGTGAATTTTTTTCTCTGCCTTCATGGCATTCAGGAAAGCTGGATTAATGCAGAATGAATCTGAAAGAAATCTAATTGCAAAAGTATAAATAAATATATATATATATATATATATATATATATATATATATATTAAATTTTACAAGAATAAAAAGGTTTGTTAAAGTTGATTAATGTTACCTTCAGCATCTTTTTTCCAAAGTTTCATTTTTTTTTTCCCCAGGATGAAAAAACTTTGTTCACTCATCAGGAGGTACAGTATTTAACTGCTTAAATTAAATTTTCATTTTTATATACATTTTTCATTGTGTTTTTTTTTTCCTAGTGTATGTGTGTGTAAAAACCCATTTTTGTGTGTATAAAAAAATGTTCTAGATTATTTGTAAAAATTTTTTTTTTTCCATTTATTTTTTTTTTTTTTTATTTTTTTTTTTTTATTTTTTTCTTTTTTTGTATTTTACCTGTTTTCTTTCATTTGTAGCCATTTTGACTTCTGGTTTTCCAGACATAGATAGATAGATAGATAGATAGATAGATAGATAGATAGATAGATAGATATAATTTATGAATTTTAATTAGCATTGCCAACAGATATGGATCATATAATTAATAAGTTATCTTAGAACATGCTAGGTTTTTAAGATTATTAATCATATGATAATAATGAAACTTTTCCAATAGAATGATGAATTTTATCCCATAAAATAAATAATTGAAACATAACTGAAAGACACAGTGTGTATTATATAGATTATGTAAGAAATTATTAAATAAAGGAACTGATAATATTAAATTAAAAGATAATACCAAAATATGAAATCATGTGCTTTGACCTTAAATAAAGCAGCAAGTGAAATTGTTCAATAAAACATGATTAAATGTATTTTATAAATTGTTGGTGATTAAATGTCAAAGTAATAAAATCTTCTGTCTGAATTTCTGGGATAAGGGGTTTCATTATTTACACACAGACTATTGTCAATTTCAATCACTGGGCTGGGTACTTGAACTCAGCAGAAACAGCAATAACTGAGCAGTACTAAATAAGAATTAGATGAGATATCTCTGGACATGGACAGTGGAATGAGAACAATCTATCCTCATAGTTTAAATAAAGAGTTCAATTGGAAATTCACTGACAATTACAAGGATCAACAATCACCTGGTGAAGGCTGTGGAGCAAATTAGCTGAAATGTTATGATTACAACAACAAAGATGGGAACAATAGTCTGCATGTAAATGATATTAAAATCTTAATGATTATCTAAGAACTTGATACAATATCAAGAAATTAGCACAGGTGTTCTTCCATCTCAGAGCCAACATGTATTTTGCATGTGTTCTCTGGTTTTTAATTTCCTTTATATATTTAACTCTTTAGCATTCAACCCACTCTGTAAATATTGGCTTTCAATGTTCAACCTGCTGTAATCCACTCCATATATACTCTGCCATAATATTATGACAAAATTATCACAAATAACACACAGTGCACTTAGACATTGTATAATGGTTAGCAAAGCTTGTCTCGCTAGATCAATTCCTACTGGATAGTGAGTTCAATCCTTACTAGGTGCACTCATATTTTCAGCCTTGTGCCATATGTAAGCTATGCTTAGAAAATCACCATCACAAATAACACAGGAAGTGATCTGTAACTTTTTGGAACTTTTGGGAGCCAAACACAATGTGGTGGATTGCCATCTTTTTGAATGTTAAAGTTTTAATTAATTACATGAGTTGTTTAATAAAAGGTTTAAATTATTAGTTTATTTAACACAAACTACATAAGTATATAAACTTTTGTAGCTTATGTTATCTCAAGATTAATATACTTTTGCATGATCATTAAGTAAGTTTGAACTTCTTTTTCTTCTTCTCTTTCTTCTTCACTTTCTTGAAGAAGAAAACATAGAAAGAGAAGAAAAACTTCTCTTTCTTACAAATTTTCATTTTCACTTTCTTTTTTTTTCTTTTTTTTGACTTCCTTTGTCTTTTCACTTTTTTTGTTTTTCATTTTCACTTTCTTTCTTTTTCTTCTTTTTCCTATTCACTTTCTTCTTCACCTTTCTTCTTCTTCTTAACTTTACTTTTCTTCTTTGCATTTTCCTTTTTCTTCTTCACTTTTTTTTCAAATTTCATAGCAAACTTGAAATTAAAAAACATTGACTAGTTTCTTCCATTCTTCTCTGTCTCTCATGATCTTCACTAGCTCTTCAATCCTCAAACATGTTTCATTTCTTAGTTGATCCACATATATTTTAATCAGTTTCCCTCTCTTCTGTTTACATTCCCACAACAATACATTTTATTTAACAGCTCTTTTTCCACCACCAAATGTGTCCAATGAATTGCAGTCTTGAGATCCATAATGATTTTGTCACACTTTGCAGCTTTCCATAGAGCTCTTTGACTGGTTTGTGTTCTTTCTATGATACACCAAGTATAGTTTTAAGTATCCTTGTATATATACTATCAAACCTATCACTTGTCTTTGTTAATGTTCAGCTTTCAGTACTGTAGAGCAGCAGACTTTCTACTGTGTCCTAAAAGAAACTTATTTTCAGATGGTTTTTGAATCGGACTTGCATAAATAAATATCAAAAAGTGGAATTAAGTCGACAAGCAGCAAATATTTAGGCTGTCTATAATTATGGCTTGTCAGATAAGTCTAGAAGATAGGAAAATGTTGTATGTACTAAGTGGTTATAAGTGCAACTACAACAGCTGTTTAGAATAGTTGGTCTTTGTTTTTAATACTAAAGTTCACCCAATACAAGTTTTGAGAATCATGCAACATAAAGGGTTACCATTAAAATAGTAATGGTGAATGAGGTGTGTGCTATAAATAAAAGAGAAGGTAGCAGGAAATGAAGATAAGGAGGATAGATAACAATTTACACTTGACTTGAAGATTAACCTCTTCAAGTGATTCTAGCGATCAGGGAAGCACCCATGCAGAAGTTTGTTCCACAAAGTAGCAGTTTTTGCAAAAGGCTGATCTGGTGGTGGTGGTGGTAGTGTTACTTTCTCATTTAGAACTAACCATTTTTACTTTGTGTTCTTGGTTGATTTTCATATATCTAATTCCTTTATTTATATTCAGACTAATGTCCTTATCTTGGTTGTTGTTATCAAAATGTTTCAGGCATTTGCCCTCCAACTTTCTTCAAATGTCTATTGATCTGGGTAACATTCAGGGGATTTCGAACTGAACACTTTCTTTAATCTATGGGGTTTGATTGTTCTTGTTCTGCTGTCCATGTCTGCTGATATTTTGTCTTGTTCTTATTTAGTACTGCTCATTTATTGCTCACCCTGTTTCCCCTGTACTCTTTAAACCAGCAGGTTAATTTATCATGGAGCAGTCCTGAACCTAGAACTTGGAGCATTAAACCTAAAGTTCTGATTTCTTACCTGTTGCTGCTGCTGTTGACTAGATTTACTGCTACTTCTCTTTTCTTAGTGCTGTTGCTCTTGAAGCCTTGCTGTCATGTTTCTTTTTTTTATTAATGATTCCAATATAGTATTTATTTCTATGTGAGGCCTACTGAGGAAGCCCTCATAGTTTAGTATATGTGCTGATTCTTTCAGACTTCTGTTCTGCTCTGACTAGTATTTTTACTTCAATCCTAGATTGGTTGATGACCAATTCCTTTATTTTTAACTCAGTATGTTTTTCTTTATTATATTTACTAACCACTTTAACCATGTTTCTTTATGTTTTTAGAATTCATCTGTTTACTTAAGCCCAAAGCTATTTCTAAAATGCTCCTGGCTTATGGTCATACCACTTATCCATCTCGCCATTCAAATATTGGCTTCATGTAGAAGATCCCCACCTACTTTCATTTTTGTACATTTTGTTCATCTATAGATCACAGCATATTTTTCCATCATCAAGGATCAGAAATGTGAGCTTATTGATTATCTGATATTACATTACTGTGCTATTAGATCTTGGCACAGGTGTCTTGCATCTGTAATTGTAAGAAATATACATTTCAGATTGGTTCATCAGATTTTCATTTCTGCTATTCAATTAAATTGAATAACGGTATAAAAGTGTAGACTTTAAAAACAAGTACAAACACATGATATAATTTTCAAACTTGAAATAAATCTTGGACATACTAAATGATCAATTATGATGAATTCTTCATAGAGAAAATATTACAAAACAATAGAACATCTTGTTAAATTATGGAGATCACCATTGTAGTTATATATAGATGGTTGTGCTAGTTTGATATTGTCACAGATACAAATATGTTCAAATATTTACATCTAGGACTTACCACGCTACATCCATAAATCACCCACATTTTCTCTGTATTCCATTTGTAAAAAGGATGTTCTACTCAAACTGCCTTTTCCTAAGAACTCCTATTTTGTGGAACAAACTCCTATGTGTGTGCTTCCCTGAATCCTACAATCTAGACTTTTTCAAGTCAATGGTTAATCACTATCCTCCTCTTTATCCTCATGATATTCACTTCCTCTTACCTCCTCTTAAATTCATATTACACACTTTATTCTGTAACTCTCTACCATGTGGATTTTGAGCCTTGTATTGAGAGAACTTTAGTATAAAAAATGCAATAAAGAGGACAAAAATTTTATTTCAAGTCTTACAAAAGCATTTATTTTTGTCAAAAAAATATTTTATTTGTAGTTTCTGAAGTCAAGTATTTTGCTTATTTTCTGTGTGCTGTGATGCTTTTATACATGTCATTTATTATTAAGCTTCTTAATGTGGATGCGGGAGAAAGTTGGTCAACTTTGTTATATTAGTCCATTTATAAATACTATATTTCATATCATATAAGATACATTTTTTCCCAAAAATCTCTCCTCAGAATCATATTTTGTCTTATACCATGATCATTGGGTTGGGTAGGTCTTGGGACAGACATTACTTATAATCTTACTTATTATAAAACGCAGATTGTGTGTGTGTGTGTGTCTGTACGTTTATATATTGGATCGGATTTCCTACATTTTTCAACTGCTTTCAACAAAACTTCACAGGACTGCGTAATATTACCTTGTGGTGGTTCTGACAGTGCCAAAAATTGGAAAAACACAATTGTTTTTGCATGAAATCAATTTGAAAACATGATAAAACACGATTCTGTCACCAGAATGAAAGGGGGACAACTCATATCGAGTTATACTTATTATAAAACCCAGGTTGTTTGTGTGTGTGTGTGTGTTCATTTATATATGGGATCGGATTTCCTACATTTTCAACCGATTTCAACAAAACTTCACTTTTTTTTTGGCAGGTAGTGTTTCTTATTGTCTTGCACACTTTTTTTTTTTTTATTTTTACATTCAGAATGCTTTAAAATTCCATTTACAAGACAATTGTTTATAATAAAATTCTATTCAATCGGTAGACTCATAACGATTGAAAACAATGTTTTGTTTGAGTTTGGGTTTGACCAACAAAAAAAAAAAAAAAAAAAAAAAAAAACTAATTAAGACATGCATGTCCATCAACTTTAAACAATAATCTTTGTCAATTTTATTTTTCAGTCTTTATGATGGTCGATACTTGATCTATCTCTTACTGTTA